TGACTGCTTTTTCATGAGTGACCACATGATAGACTCATATCTTGCTCTATAGATTGGGGGCCAATGCTTGGTTGAGACTCCTCATTCATTTATTTTAACTTCATTGTTTGTATAAACCAGAGTTAATTTACCAGTTTCCTTACCAATAGACAGTAAAGTTGTTTGCATTTTTTTTATTATTACAAACATTGTAGACTCCATGTACACATTAAATTGCTGGGTTGTGGTATATACCCATCTTAGGCTCTACCAGGCATTGCAAATTATTCTCCAAAGAGGTTGAACCAGTTTTCATTTTCATTGCATTTTTTTTTTTTTTTTTTACTGTTTTATTTGTTCCTCTAGCTGACTGTGAACTTCTGGAGACTCAGGACTTCGTTTTATTTATTTTTGAATTCCTAGTGCCAACTAAACTATCTAACAAATAGTGGTAGATGGGAAATATTTGTTGCATATGTAAATGTATGAATTATGGAAGCAAAAACTCATTAATTAACGTTTTCTAAAAGCGTAAGTATTGTCCTTTTCAAGTTAATTTATATCTTTTGAACATTAACTCTTTTCTTTTTAAAATGGGCATTTCTCAATGAGTAATTTAAATTGTTTGATACTTGTTTCCAGGTAATAAATGAAGGCGATTCAAGCTTTGCCCCTGAGTCACAGGAGGAGTTAGAGGAAAATCCTAGTCCAGTTGTGGATGAGAATAATATTGCATCAGCTAAAAAACAGGGACCACATTTACATAACTGGAGTGGTGACTGGAGCTTTTGGGTAATATTATTTTCTTTATTATATCTTCATTATAATCTTAAATGCAAATTGTCTTTAAGTGTACAGAAATTCATATAATATTTGTAATATTTTCTTATTAGCTACTAGAGTTTAGATATTTAAGTTTTAGTCGAGTCCCAAAGACATTTCTGATTACTTCCTCCTTTGGCCACTAGAATGCACTGTTGTCTGGTTTGATGGAGAGGAATTTTCTGCTTCAATTTCCTCGGGAGAAAACTACACCACAGAATTGGATTCCATTTACATTATTCACTGTATTGGCAAGAGACTAACATTTACAGAAACCATATTTCTAAATGTTACTGAGAAGCCAGCTATTTGACATAATTTTGATTTAAAGAATTAGTTTCTGTACCTAAAAGGTAGTTTAACAATGTTGGACCTGTTTGTATAACGATTACGAGATAGGTTTTAAAGTTAGGCGTTTCATATTCTGTTTGCACTATGCTCACTGGGTTGCATCACCTGGGTATGCTTCAGGTTTCTCCACTGTAAAATGAGACTACTGCTTGTTGACTAGATGCAGGGAGTCTTTTGGTAAGCACATTTCTGTTACCATATGAATGCTAGCAATTATTATATTAAAGGGTTCATTCTAAATTTAGCAATTCCTGTGAGAGTTATGAGCCATTTGATAAAATATGCAACTATAAGTGAAATTTATATAAGATTGTAAGGAATATATGGTTTCAATATTAATTTATTAGAAAGCTGATTTCTTGAAGATTAGATACACTTGGAGCAGAATTTTTAATAATTTTAGAGTAGACCAAAAGAGACATATTATTAACAGGTTAGATGGATTGGTAGATATACTATCATTCTGTTCATCATTAGCAAAATTAGTATTATTTTTGGTCATGTTTAGAGAAGGTTTGACTATTGTAGGGTTTTGATCCCTTTGCACTGTGATTTTTATAGCTTATGTTACAAATTGGAAAACTTATACTTCTAAGGACTATGTACAGGGTTAAATAATTTCTGTGGTCACTCTTGGCAGACTTGATGCAAGAAAAAGGGTAAAGAAAAGGAAAAAGCAAGGGA